CGGGGCTCTGAAGTAACCGGGGAGAAAAAGTGTACACTTTTAGTTCATAATGGTTCTCTTTGAGTAACAGGTCCCAAAAAATCTTAAAATATGATACTCCCTCGCACAGTTTATCGGAGCATTATACGTAGAGGGTCTCGGTAAACCTCGAAAGGCACTGAGTGTAGGCTTGAATGACAGAGGATTTTGAAAGGCCTTGAAGCCCTTGCAGGCTTGCGTTTTGGGGTATAGGCAACATGCTTGGCTCTTCTGAATCCTGTTTGGGCCGTTTATGGCCGTTTGGGGTTTAGGGCCAGAGAAGAGTTTAGGGTGTAGGGTTTGCAGACCCTCCCCCAAACCCTTAGCCCCAGGCACCTGCAATGAGGGCGCCATGAAGGAAGCGAAGTCCGGCCTTGGAGAAGGGACCTCCAGGGCTTGGGTTGATGCTGTCTCATCATGTAGGAACCTGATTAAGAAACCCCCCGAAGTGGTAGGATTCATGTATAAGGCAAACCGTAATAATTCCTACATTACAAGTTTCAAAGCGAGGGTGCGGAAACCTCCGAGCTTCAACCGATTATGGCGAATAGCTTCCAGGCTGTTACTGTTGGAAGTCTAGTAAGAGGCAGTTGGGGGCTACAATAAAGGGTATTTGGGGGGTCTAGATACGGGGTTTTCGGTTTAGCTGACGTGCCTGGGCTTCTGATCTTGAAGCTGCTTCGTCAGGTCTGCTGCCTTCAAGTCCTTCTTCACATCGATGAGCTTCTCGTGATGCCCGGGGTGCTCGAACAATCGTTCAATCGTAACGTCCCAGTATCAGCATCGCGCAAAGGCAAGAATTCGAGCTCCAGAACCATAGCAAGGGAAAAGAAGGATGGGCAACCTCCTCAGATTCTGACGTGGCGCACCCCTTTGAGCCAGGATCCAGACAAAGCACCTACATTGAGCGATGCCTCTGCTTCTGTGTCAAAGACCTGCGGCTCGGCATCGAGGCCTTTGCGACTGCACAAGCGCAACCCGTTTTGTAAGCCACGCAACCCTTGGCCGAGGAAGGCTTCAAAGAGACTGGTCCCTTAAGGGATGCAGTCTGGACTCGTGGGATCTCCGAGATCCCCAGCTCACAGACCATTCTTCCCTACTCCATAAACAGGGAAATAGAAGAGCATGCAGACAAGCTCTTGAAACGCTTAAAGTGGGCACCCCGCGCAATCTGTTCCATGCAGCAAGGGATGCCCTGAATAACCACTAATATAGGGGCCTTAATAATTAGACAAGGGTTTGGGGACCCATTATACTAGAATCACAATAAGGAGCCCGTACAGTAGTATAGGTAATTATTAAGGCCCCTATAGTACCCATCCTGAAGCTCAACGCCCTCAGCCCCCAAAGACCTTCCAATCTCCCAAACTGTCATGAACAGGAAGAAGCGGAGCTCCAGTGCAGTTTTAGAAAGACGCGAGGGGGTTTCAAGAAAGGCCCGAACGACGACAATGACTAATGATTGGAATAGGCACTGTATAGCTCTATGAACAGTGAGTAGTGGATTCCCAGATTGAACAGATCCCCAATCCAACTGGGTACCTCAACCTCAGTCCTAAACGGAGCAATTCAGAAACCCCATAGAAAAAGTCTCTGCAGGCAGAGGCACAAAGGGCCCTTCTCCGGTCTCGGTGCACAACTCCCTCGTACCATGACATAAGTTAGGGGCCGGAATAATTAGAATAGGAGCCCTTTTGATGAGGGTCATACAAAGGTACTCTGATATAGGGGCCGTAAACCTTGAACTTGCGTTTTCGGGCAAATTATATATGCTGTACTTACTGATAACCCTGAAAACCCAGTGACCACTACAAGAACAATGGAGTGAAGAAACAGTCACGAATGATGATAGCCTTGTGAGCTGCCTCGAGTACCTAGTACTCCTTTTTCCACGAGCTTGTTGGAGCTTGCCCCGCTAAACCTATAATCCCTCAACCTATGAACCCTAATAAAACCCTAAACCCTACTTAAATCTTAAACCCTAAACTCCCCAAACCCGTAAACGCCGTAAACCCTAAGCCCCTAACCAGTACGGCAGAATGCACCCAGACCGGCCAAGCCAGGCGAGATCCGCAAAGAAGTCGTCAACGCAGATCCCAAGCAGGCACCCGACGGAGGGTCACATTAATATAGTACCCTAAATAGTAGGATGATTATTATAAGGACCCTAAAATAAGGTACCCCCAATTTTCGGAAACCCCCACATAGAAAAAGGTCAGACTCAAGATCGAGTCAACTTACCAGGACCCTCCTTGTACCCTCAAATAGGGGGTATATGGTCCCAAATAAAGGGCATTTAGGGTCTAATAGAGGGTAGATGGAGGGTCAACTTAGAAAGTCTAGGGACCGGGGAGGATCCTGAAGCGTC